TTGAGGAGTAGATCGTGAAAGGGACCTGTATTTGGAACTCTCGTACGGTAGGTTTAATGCGGGTAGTAGAGCTGAGTATTTTCCATTGAGGTAGGTATTTTCTCTATTTAATTAATGAAGCCAGCTATTTATCAAAGAAAATACGTGCTGGTAAATTGGTTGAAATTATTGTCAGGCATTTTCCTTTGGCGATCCAGAGGGGAATTTTGACTGGTGGATTTGTAACTATTGATGATGTCGAGAAGTATTTGCGGAAGGTCGATGATACATACAAACTAGATAAAAAGAGAGAAATTAAGAATGATAATTCGCGTAGGCAAAATACGGAGCGAGGTTATACCAGGGATCAAATTGTTAGAAATCCGAATAATCAGTATGGGCAGGACCGTGAGGGTAATAGATCGAATAACATCCATTCCATCGCATTAGTTGTTTTGGAGTAGCGTTTAATCAGGAGTGTGTAGATCTTTTAACCGATTCTGATAGCGAACCCGAAGAATGTGGAATTTTTTTTCCTCCGATTGAGATTTCAGGGTAGGATAGGCGCGGCTAAGGTGGAAATACGCTTAGACAGTGGTTCAGACGTGTGCAGTTTCGGAAAATTTTTATGAATCATTGAAAAAGTCTTTGACTTATATTCCTAACTTACCGGTAATTATTGTTACTATAGCTGTTGCATTGGGTGGCAGAACTCAGCGTATTTCAAGCCAAATTTGTTTACCAGCCAGAATAGCAGACATAGAGATGGATGTCACAAGCCTCGTCGTTCCAAATGTAAATTGCAATATACTTTTTGGGGCTAACTGGATGTCAAAATATAAAACCAATCTTGATTTCAATAAGTCAATCTTGACACTTTTTTCAACAGTATTTTGTGTGAAACTAGAATTGAGTTTAAGGTGAGTTCTACCGATATTGGTATCAACTTATGCAGGGATATTGTTGAAAAATCGGTTTTCTTTAAAATTATTTCACAAGCATCAATAAACTCTGATAAAGAAAGAAATCATATATATTCGGACGATGACTTATGTTCAGCGGCAAAGAGTGGCTATATTGGTGATGAAAGGGGGCAACTTTATTAGATTTTAAAAATGCATTCGCCTGTTTTCTCAGCTAGTCCAGGGCGGGTAAATAACTACTATCATGAAATCGAAATTACTAATCATTCAAACGCACCATTACATCCAGTTCCTTATGTGTTCAAAAATGAAGCAGAGGCGCAGATTAGGGAAATGCTAGAATGGGGAATTATTAGGAAGCAAAAGATTGAATATGTTTCGCCACTGGTATGTGTTAGAAAAAAAGATGGGACTATAAGGGTATGTGTGGATCTTAATCTAGATTGGTGAAGGATTATGTAAATCCGCTGAACACATCTGAGCTTTTACTCAATTTCAAAAAGGGACAATTGCTAAGCACGATCGATCTAACTGCCGCTTATTGGCAAATCCCGATTAAAGGTCTGGACACACATGACCGCACCGTATCCGCACCGAGTCCGTGCAGTAAAACAGCAGTGTGTCGCTAAGGTAAAAACCACACATTTCCAACACACGACCGCATGACGGTCGTACTACGAGTGCGGTCGGTAGTTTATCAGTTCGAAAATTTCTGCGTGAAAAAGGCTAAAATGTTCGCCAGCATCATTGCGCTGGACGATGGAGAAAATGAGGAAAATAGGCCAAAACGACGAAAAATTTGGGCTAGGTACAACTCATCAGCGAGACACGGCCTTGTCTCGGTACGGACACGGTGCGGATACGGTGCGGTCATGTGTGTCCAGACCTTAAGGAAGAGCATAGTAAGTATATTGGTTTTGTCTATGCAGGCGAAACTTATAGGTTTAATACGCTGCCTTTCGGACTGTGTACGTCTATGGCTGATATGGATAGCAGATCCTCAAAATTTCAATTATATCAGATGACGCGTTCCGAAATTATCACCTGGGAAAAACGTTGTGGGACACCCTGTATACAATGTGATAGCTCAGAGATTGCTAAAGTCTTTTTTTTTAAGATAAAAGTCAAAATGACATTATGTTTTTATGTAGAAAAGGCTTGTGTTACCAACATAGTTACCAAATTTTTGACTTGGGGAATTGACCTTTTGTTTGGACGCCATATTGCGGTGCGCGAACATAGTTGCCAAAAGAAGAAAACAAAAATTACTAGCGGGCTGTCAACATTAAAAACAAAAGTAACTAAATGATTGATCCTCGCTATCCTTTTTGTTTGTTTACTTTCTCTCTCTGATTGATGAAAGTAAATAGATAGATATTCTATTTCTATTCTGCCTAATACAAGCTAAAGTTGATGGCTTTTCTTTTCAAAAACATTCGTAATAGGCGGCAAATTTAAATTTTAAATGTAATTTATTCAGTAACTTTTGTTTTTAATGTTGACAGTACGCTAGTAATTTTTTTTTTCTACTTTTGGTAGGTAACTATGTTCGCGCACCGCAATAGGGCATGTCCATGTGACGTCACAAATGAGTTTGACAGTCGCCCTGAGGTAAAACAAATCATTTATTTACATTCATTTAGATTAGGCCGGTTATGTTTTATGCGGTTTTCACAGATTTTTTACAAGTTTTTGTGTTATTTTGTTCTAAAAACGTTAGAGTGGAGTGTTTGTGTTCCAGTCTATGTGGTCTTTTAGCCAAAAGTTTGCCAGGTTTTCTTATTATGGATTAATTTCAGGATTTTTCCAACAAATATCAAAACCAAGTGTCACAAGAACAAATATATAAGTATAGTTACTCTATATTCAATCTATTTTTCTGTTAGATCTTCGCTTTTGAGAACAATAATCAATTTTTCTCTTCTTTTTTGAGCTAAGAAATCAAATCGCCCATTGTTATTTGAAATTTATGGAAACCTATGGAAGGATATTGTATCCCTTGCACTATGCTGCCACAATTAACAACTAAACAAACTCTAGGCATGTCCAAGAAACTTCTGGATCACACAAAAGGCATTTATTTGAAAAAATCTAACTAAAAACTTAAACAACCACTGTAATTTTATCTTTGTTTTACCTCTAGGCGACTGTCAATAGTGTCAAACTGTCAGATCGTGTACTTGCCCTATATGGCGTTCAAACAAAAGGTCAATTATCTTTAAATAAAAAACAAACTCTATGGCTAGAGTGCTGTTCCAATTATCAGAAACAGCTGACCAACAACTTATTGCATACGCTAGCGTTACATTCAAGGATAGTCAGCTATCAATTATCATTCAAAATTAGTGAAAAAGAGGCTATGGCTGTCATACACAGTTTAAAGTAATGGCGAACTGTGGTTCTTGGGCAAAATTTAACTATAAAATCGGATCACAAAAGTTTAGGCTTTCTAATAACATATAAGCTGAAAAGTGCTAAGTTATCCGCGCTGGATTATGTTTCTGCGGGAGTTTAATTTTAATATTGTACATTGCAAGGGATCTGATAATTTCACGGCTGATGTTTTATCACGGTATCCGTCTAGGGAAGTTCTGGCGGTACAGCCGACACAAGAGGGTGATATAAACATCGCTTTTGCTAAGTTAAGTGGGGATTTATCGAAAGTAAGGGGTCATCTCAAAAACATGCGAAGTGACCAATTGAAGGAAAATTGGATTAGAGAAAAAATTGAATTCTTGGAAAATTTTGCTAGGTATCCCAGGGTTTTGACAAAGAAAGAGTTATGAATGCAAGAATGGTTGTGGTGCACGGCAATCTACTCTTCAAGAGGGAAAATCAATTTTACCCGGGCTATAAACTTTGTAAACCAATTAACCAAGTTTACGACTTTGTACTGATGAAACACAAATCTTTAGGCCACTTTGGTAAAACGAAAACATATGAGCATACGGCATTCATTTATCTAGCCCAGAATTCAAAAGCATGTTCGGAAAATTGTCGCTGCCTGTGACAACTGTCAAAAAATAGTCTGGCGAACCGTCGGGGGTTGTATAACGCAGTTTTGCCTAGTAGACCGGGTGAATTGGTTTGCTTGGACCTCGGAGGGCCTGCACCTTATCGGACCGCTGCCTGAAGGGCCAGGAGAGGTTACTCCACTTTTGGTAATTGTTGATGCCTTTTCGAAATCCATAAAGCTCTATGCTCTCAGGAGGGCAAAAACACTTAAATAGGGTTTCAAATTCATATACAGTTCTGGCAAGTGAAAATCTTACAGACCAATTTTAATGCAATAGAATGAAATGTCTAGAAAAAGTCTAAGGGTAAATAGAGAACGAAAACGATTTCCCCTCTTCCACCTCCAGTGCGACGACGGACGACAGCGGAGTCAAAGAAGACTAGCCGGTGTTGCCGTTCCATAGAATATTTATGCACCGTCCGTGCATGATTATGGATAGCCATGCATCGACTGCAATTTTTAAGAATTTTCATGCGTTTTTTTTTTTAAGAATATCAATTTTTATCATGTTTTTAGCCTCGAGGCTGAGATTGGAGAAGAGAGTAGGAGAGAGCTGGCAACGCGGCAGGAGCTGCTTGACAGATAGAGCGAGCAGCAAGAGGGCGATTTGTTCGTATCCCACAAGCGATTAAAAAAAAAAATAGTTGCCTGATTTTTAGGCTCTTAGTTGCCTGATTCTTGTTTATTTAGGAAAATAAATCTAAATAATTAAATTCCAGAGGTGTGTTTCCGTTGTGAAAGTCCTATACTGCAACAGCCAAGAACCCGACCTCCGTGGAGGATCTAACCAAAGTTCCAGCATAGAAAGAATCGTTTCAGATGTTGGTTAATGTTAGAGCTATTCACTCCTGTGAGAAAGATTGCTGCAAGCAACTGACAAAATAATAGAGCTTGAAATCTTCCTAATTCAATTTCAAGAATCGCTATTCATGTTGCCATTGAAACGTTTTGAGAAATGGAATGAGTATGAAGAGTTAGTTAATAATAAACCTTGCAATTAGCCCAACATTAAGCGGGCACATAGAAGGCACACAACAAAAAGCAAGTTATTAACAAAGAAAAGCATTTTCGTTAGTAATTACCATTGCATTTAGGTACCAAAAAAAAAGCTCTAGTAACTATTTGCCTCAGATACAGAATCGTCTATGGAAGAAATGTCAGTGAGGGAGTTATTGGAGTCCTGCAAATAAAATTAAAAAGCTGTGCTACCTATATATAACACCCTAAACAGGTAGTTTCCTGATAAATAAAACCTACTTCTCGTTGTAGCTTCCTCTTTTCCAATTTTAGTGCCTCTTCACTCTGTTCGGACACCTCTGCTGCTGTTTTATATCGGATGACTTGACTTTCCAATCTGGCAACAGTGGCTTGAAGTGTCGCAACATCTTGTTCAGCTTTTTGCGCCCGAAACTTGTAGTCTGCCAATTGTTTGCTGGCCTCTCCTAAAAACAATAATGTACTGAAGAACCAAAAAACTGATTTTATAACCAAAACCTACTTTGTAAGTCGTCAGGGTCATAGTCAGATGATGGTCCATTTAGCAAACTACCCGATCCTGACTTTCGTCGCCTGCTCCTTTCCTCTTCCAATTCTAATTTTAAACTACTAATTTGATCTTGAAGCTCGCCTTTTTCCTTTGCAAAATTAGCTAATCGCACATCTAAGCTACCATCGCCACCTTCAAGTAATCTAGCATTTTCGGCTTGAATTAAAGCTTTTCTAGGCGGATCGCCCTCCTTTTCAGGATCTCCGTATACTATCACTAGTCCTTTTTCTTCTATTATCCTATCGCGTTCTTCTAATTCAAATTTATAAGCTCCCAAATCGTTTTTCAGCTGCTGACATAGCCGCTGCAACTGATCAAATTCCCTACACTTGTCCCTATGTTCTCTTTTTAATTGCGAATTCTCCTCCTCTAATTCTTCTAATCTAAATCAGAACATATTATAAGTGAACAATAATTTAAAAAAAAAAAAAAAAAAACTTGCCTATCTTTGAGAAGTTCTAACTGATAAGTGTGTGCCGTTTTGTCATTATCCAGCTGAGCATTCTGTATCATAGCCTTCCTAAATCGTTCTTCCACATCTTTGAGCTCCGCCTGAAAATTTAGTTGACTTATTATAATATTATGTTGCATGTTGAATTACTTCTAGTTAAAATAGTACAACAATTCATTGATCAAGTTCAGAGCCCAGTTGGATCGTTGACAAATATGTTTATTGTAATGTTTAATTTAGCCACTATAATTTCACTCAAACCGTTGATAAGATTAAGTGGTTGCATTTATTTACGTGTAAGTTTCAATATGCCTATTGTTCAATTATTGCTAAAAATAATTTGATATTGATATGATATAAATTAATCAATAATAGAATCACATCATTCTGCCTGGAAATGCACATTGGATTTCTTGAGCTTTATGATCGTTTTAATTCTCTATAAGTGCATTCATGGATGGGAATATAGGTCAAGCAAGTAAACTGCAAACGGTTTGAATATTAATTTGTTAATTTATTTATTATTCTTCTCTCGGAAAAAATTATATTCTTTGAAGTAAGAGCAATGAAGAGATATCAACGGATCTGTTTTTCTCATGTGAAATCTGGATTATGGATCTCGTACATGCAGGAGAAAATTGTGGAAATCTAACGGCCTCTGAAGTCTAATGCTTTCGATAAACGAAAAGTTATTTTTTTTTTATATGAGTCTAAAACTGGCTGTGGAGGAGCTGGAAAAGCTTAAAAGCAGACTTGGTGAAAATGCAATTAAAGATAATATCAACAATATAAATTAAGCCAGCAATGGAAATCACTATGATAAAATATCACATCAAATATTACCACAAAACAATAAGAATGGAGCTAGAGATGCGATTATAGAATTAGGTGAAAATTTATCAGAGTGGTTATAGACTTTGAAGAAAAAGTCGCGCATCTTAAGACATGAGAATAAATGGTCAGATCTATATAGTCCAGTGGATATATGGGTTTTTCAAAAAAGTTTACGAGGGCAGGCTGATGTTTTCAGAGCTAATTGAAGACTGTGTCCTGAGTTCCTGAGTATCGAGGCAAAATATCTGACTTGAAAGCCTTTTGCGTTCGGCTCTATTGGGATTTTTCTTAACTTTTTTTTTTTCGACAAAATGACCTCAATAAAATTTGTGGATAATTACATTCTAATCAATTTGCCTTATGACTTTTTTCCATAGCTATTTTATTTTATTTCAGGCGCTGCGACTATTTTAGTGCATCAGAATTCGGTAAAAATTAAATAGCAAACCTGCAGAGTATTGTACTTGTTTTAAGAAATGTTAAATACAAAAGTTGTAGGATTTTACATCTATCATCTTTTGCACATGTTAAAACGGGCAAATTACAGGTGCCAACTGTCATAATGACAAGCATTTGCATTGGTTAAGTGGAGTGGAACACCCTGTATATTTTTGGCTAGAATGATTTTTTTCTTCTGATTCCAAATATACCATATATGTTGATATTTGCTACAGCTGTTTTCAAACTATTCAACTTTAAAAATGCATTTACATTACCCTTAATTTAATCTGTTTCTTATATCAATGATTAGGCTTACTCAATGCAATTTTGAAATTAAATTGCGCAAAACTACTGAATCAAATATCAATACATATTGGTATATTTGGAATCAGAAGGAAAAAAGCTATCATTCTAGCCAAAAATATACAAGGTGTTCCATTTGAAAAATGCAAGTGTTTATCATTGTGACAGTTGGCACCTGTCATTATTTGCCCGTTTTGACATTCGCAAAAGATAATAGACATAAAACCCTACAATTTTCATATTTGAAGTTTTTTTTACCCGCATCCTGCATACATACATAGTATATTTGGGATGAAAAGAAAAAAAATCATTTTAGCCAAAAATATACAAAGTGTTCAATTTTTAAAAATGCAAGTGTTTGTTATTTTGAAAGTTGGCACCTGTCATTTGCCCGTTTTCACATGTGCAAAAGATAATAGAGGTAAAACTCTACAACTTTTGTATTTAACATTCTTTTTTAATTTTTTTTTACTTTGTAGAAGCCGCATTAATTATATATATATAAGTACAATAATCTGCAGTTTGCTATTTATTGTTTTCCGGATTCTGAAGTACTAAAATGGTCGCAGCGCCTGAACTGGAATAGCTAGCAAAAAAGTCATAAGGCCAAGTTGAACAGAATGTAAATATCCACAACTTTTACGAAGGTCATTTTGTCGTGAAAAAAAAAATAAGAAAAATGCCAATAGGGCCGAATGCACAAGGCTTTCAAGTCAGATTTTTTGGCTCAATACTCAGTACACAGTCTCCAATCAGCTCTGAAAAAATTAGCCTGAAATTTTTTTTTTTAAACCCATAGGTAAATCTACTGGACTAATCTGGATGATCTGATTTGGAAGGGAAGCGTTACGGAATTACATTATGGGGAAACAGCCACGCTTCTCTGCATTATCAGTAAAATGTATTTACTTTGGGTAGTAAGGTTTAAAGTCAACCCCTATTTCCTGAACCTTGTGTTCAAAAATTCCAAAAAAAATATATGTTTTATGGTTATCGATATACTTCAATCCATAATTTTTTTAAGCAAATTTGACTCGCCATTTTTGAGTTAAAACGCAAAAACTGAAAAAAAAGTAGTTCTTCACCATTTATTTCAAAACAAATACTTAGATGAAGTTTCCCATTATTTTTATTACGAACTACTATTGCAATTCTACGCGACATACCTATATTTTTTTCAAATTTTTTGAACTTGTAGTTTTCTCGCCACTACAAAAATGGTTGGAAATACGCCCGTAGCTACACTGTTTAGAAAAAAATCCGACGGATGAACGTTCAAAATTATTTGCGTTGGTCGAAACTACAACCCTGTTTATGTAAAACAGAATAATACTTCGAATTTCCGCCAAAAAAAGAAAAAACGTTCCATCACACAATTTAACCAAATGAAGATTTCTATTTTTTTCTGACAGTCAAATTAGGGCACACTATAGGGGCGACAGCATTGACATCTCGCGTTGATGTAATAAACTATAGGCCTGACTTTAAACCTTAACGTGAAGTGATAGAATAGATTATAAGTTCTCTGACAATTCAGTACTGTGCTGTGGTACTGTGATTCAGTATAAACTTTATTGACACATTCATCAATCAATCAACCGTGAATTATATACAACAATTAACAGGTTAATTAATATATAGTCAGAGATAATTAGTGAATACTACAAATCCTCCCTGACAAATTTGAAGGTTCAATTTTTCTGGTTGGTTCCTTATTCTGGTACTTTTTTGCAATGTCTCAGCCGAGGTCTCAGCATTTTCGGGAATCTGCTGCCAGATTCTATTTTACGAGTCGAGTCGAAATTTGTATCGAATTGTTTAAATAGCGATTCTGTTTTTCGATACGTATTACACGGTACGTCCGGAGCTGTCGTATACGATATCGAGTGTCATAACAGACAATTCGACTCGATTCGTAGAATAGAATCTGGGCCCTGATTTGAGTGATTTGGTTTGATTATAGATTGGAAGAAGGTTAACATGTTTTCGTTAGCACTATTCGTGGATGAAGCCTCTTGTGTATTTTTTGTTGAAATAGAAACTCCTGGTATCAATTCGTTAGTTATTATTGAGCTTGTGCTTTGCACAGGATCAATACCAGAAAAATGTTGCATTGCATAGGTAAATCGCCTACAATATTTTCCCTTGTAGTATTTTCTATTTCCAGAGTTTGTTTCATGTCTGGAACACAACAAACGTTAGGTTGTGATGCTGGACACTCTACTTTAGTTGAGGCAATTTGATTTATATGTCTTCTGATTATTTTATCTTCAATTTCAATCAAAAAAATAATTGCTTTCTCTTGTTAAAACTTTACCAAATCCCCATAGACAACTTTTCCTACTGTCAAAATTTCTCACTCAAACAGTTTCGCCCACCATAAATTCTGAAACTGCTTGATTTTCCATCTCGAAGGGTTTTTGAAATCTAACTAGATCTTATTTAGTTCGTATATTTCTTCCATACATCAATTGAGAAGTGACTGATTCGTAGAAGTGTGTGGTATTTTTCTGTATTGCAAATTTTGAAGTTTCAAATCAAGATCTTCAGGATCAGCTACCATTTTTTTAAAGTATTCTTCATGGTTCCCACATATCTTTCAACTTGACCATTTGATGCAGGATGATAAGGTGCTTTAAATTTATGTATAATTCCATAGATTCCAAGAAAATTCTGAAATTCATGTGATATAAAAGTTTCTGACCAAAGTTACTGGTAGGCGAAAGCGTGCAAAAAACCTCGTAAAATTGAAATTGTCTTTAAAGTATTCATAGACTTGGTTATAAAAATTTCAGGCCATTTAGAATATGCATGGCAAATTAGTAAAAAATAAGTTCCTTGAAACGGTCCCGCAAAATCAATATGTACGCGTTGCCACGGTTCTTTTGGAGTGTCCCAACAATGTGGTGGAATTTTAATTTTGTTGTGTATAGTCTTTTTAAAGTCAGTTGAAACAAGGTAAATGTAAATATCAACTGGTGATTGAATACTTCCATAAGAAATGCACTGCCACTAGTCAGCCACCAGTTGCAATCTACTTTTACCTTGTTCAGACTATAACATAGATTGACAACTTTGACATTTCTTAGTCAATCCTTCACTATCAAAATCTATTCTTGGCCACCAAACAAAAGAACGCGCAAGTGATTTTATCTTTACTATACCAGTATGTGCTTCATGTTATTATTTTATTACTCTTTGACGAAGCGTTTTGTCTCGCGTTTTGTGTACATACAACAATGCACGAATCTCTTAGTATAGTACCTTCATTTAAAAAAAAAATCTATATCTTTGCCTTTAAATTCATTTTCTTCAATTTTGTTTCCAATTTGTAAACTTTTGTAAACATTTCTTAGTATTAGGTCTTCTTTTGTTTCTTTAGCAATTTCTCTGTGTATAACTGGTAACGTTAGAATTTGTTGTAACTGATGAATTGTAACGCCATCCAAGTTTTAGCAATTGTTTGAGGCAATCTAGACAGTGCATCAGCATTCAAGTGTTTTCCGCTTGAACGATAAATAATATCGTAATCAAAGCCTTGTAAAAATTGAGCGTAATGAAGCATTCGAGTAGCTACCATACTACAAAGATGTTTGTTTGGATTAAATAATAGAAACTAAAGGTTGATGATCAGTAATCAGCGTGAATTTTCTCCCATAGCAATACTGAAAACATTTATTACAGGCTCAAAAAATAGCAGTTGCTTCCTTATCAATTTGACTATAATTTTTCTCCGCTCTTGTTAAGCCCATGTCATACTTGCACTGTCTAGATTGCCTCAAAATATTACTCAAACTTTCAATGGAACAATGGATGGCGTTACAATCCATCAGTTACAACAAAGTCTAACATTACCAGTAACACACAGAGAAATTGCTAAAGATGAATTTATAGGAAAAGATAAAGAATTGCATATCCTAAATGGCCTGAAATTTTTATAACCAAGTCTATGAATACTTTAATGACAATTTCAATTTTCCGAGGTGCTTTTGTACGCTTTGGCCTACCAGTAACTTTGGTCAGTGATAATGGAGGAACTTTTACATCACATCAATTTCAGAATTTTCTTAGAATCAATGGAATTATACATAAATTTACTGCGGGGATGTGGGAACCATGAAGAATACTCTAAAAAAAATGGTACCTGATCCTGGTGACCTTGATTTAAATTTTCACAATGTTCTTATGCAATACAGAAAAATACCACACACTTCTACGAATCAGTCACCTTCTCAATTGATGTATGGGAGAGAAATACGAACTAAATTAGATCTAGTTATATTTCATTGAGATGGCAAATCAAGCAGTTTCAGAATTTATGGTGGGCGAAACTGTTCAAGTGAAAAATTTTGACAGTACCAAAAGTTGTCTATGGGAATTTGGCAAAGTTTAGAAAAAAGAAAACAACCTTATTTATTTGATTGAAATGGAAGATAAAATAATCAGAAGACATATAAATCAAATTGCCTCAACTAAAGTAGAGTGTCCAGTATCACAACCTAACATTTGTTATGTTCCAGACATAAAACAAACTCTGGAAATAGAAAATACTACAAGAGAAAATATTGTAGGCGATTCATCTACGCAACATGTTTCTGGTATTGATCCTGATCAAAGCACAAGCTCAATAATAAGTACCGATTTGATACCAGAAGTTTCTATTTCAACAGAAAATACATTAGATGACCAAGAGGCTTCTTCTATGGATAGTGCTAACTAGAACATGCCAACCTTCTTCCAATCAAAAAACCAAACCAAATCAGATTCCAGAAAATGCCGAGACATTGCGAAGAAGTACCAGAATAAGAAAACAACCAGAAAAATTGAACCTTCAAATTTGTCAGTGAGGATTTGTAGTGTTCACTACGTATTAATTAACTTGTTAATTGTTGTATGTAATTCGGATTGATTGATGGATGAATATGTCAATAAAGTTCATACTGAATTATCAGAAAACTTATCTATTGTATCACTTTACATTAATACCCAAAGCAAATAAATATTAAATTCCATCCTCGTTGCCAATTTAATATGTATTTACTTTGGGTATTAACGTAAAGTGATACAATAGATTATAAGTTTTCTGACAATTCAGTATGAACCAGAGATAGTATGAACTTTATTGACACATTCATCAATCAATCTGAATAGACCGATCTCCTATTACATGAGGTCTGTTCCCACAGGAGTTTCCGACAGTTTGCAACCTGTCAAAAACAATCGCTCAGCTGAGTTACATATTTATCTTGTAACGACAGCATTGAGAACATGTATGGGCGATGCTTACTGACAGTTTGCAAACTGTCAGAGACTCCTGTGGGAACAGACCTATGGACTGCGCGCCTCGCTTGTAGGCTGCAGGTGAGCGTCCAATGAGAAGCAAGTTTGTGACAGACTTGCGTCATATTCTTATTCAGGGGCCATTTCAGAATTAATCGTTCCTTCTTTCTTTTTAACGTGTAATTCGACAAAGAGCAAACTAATACTTTACATATTACTTGAACTCACCGCAGTGTCGTTTAAGGTTATGTTAGATTATACTTGACATATTCGTTTGCAATTTCATTGAGCGATGTTGCCGGATGAAACATTTATCAAAATAAAAGTGCAAATAATGTTCATCCACTTTAACGCTCTTCTTTTGTCTGATTTGAGGCGTTGTAAAACACTTGACACTGTATCACTTCTTTAATGTTATAGTTCGATTTGTATTGTCTACATTTGTTCTGCAACAATACAATCTGACTACACTGCAGCCTACGAATTGCGCGCATGTCATCTTTTATTGCTTTCTAACTTGTATTTTTTATAATTAAGCTTTCTTTTACTAATCCTGCGAGATAGGTCTATTACATACAACAATTAACAGGTTAATTAATACATACATTTTTTTTATACATTGTGGAATTTGAATAAAAAAGAATTTCCTGATATTCTAAAAGGATTCCTCGATTAATTCAATCACCGTTATTGATTTTGTATACAAAATACAACATATAATATGTTGTATTTTGCTTGTAAGTTGAAGTCAGCTTGAAAGGAAGAATGATTAAACTGTTGTATAAAGTTAGGTAGAAACGATAAGTGAATTCTGTAAAATCAATTGTTCAATAGAAGCTGGTGTTGTTGGTAAAGAGTTTTAGTGGACCGCGGGAATTCCTGAAACTATGATAAAGAACTACTTCTTACCTTCAGATCTCTTAGACTGCCACCACCGCTGCCACTGTCTTCTAACGAGTCTTCAGAATTTCTCCTGCTAGCTGGTCTGTGTCTTGTAGCTGAAGTGCCACGGCCCCTGGGGCCCCAAGCAGGATCAGAAGAGGCCACCAGCATGTCGAACTGTCGATCCGCGTTTTCTTCTTGTTCTCGTTGCATACGTTCCAGTTCGCGCATACGAATTTCGCGCGCTTCCGCGCGTGCCTGTCTTTTGGCCCATAAACGTGCTTCGGCCTGGAAACAAAAAAAAAAACAATAACTTTTTATAGGTCAATTTTTGTCAGTACAGTAAAAGTCCGGCAATCAAAAACCTTAAAACTAGCCTACAATGATTAAATTAGCTTTGAATTACGTCAAATTTCTATTCAATACCAGGAAAAACTGTAATTAGGTTTGGGAATTTGTAATTTAACATAATGGAAACAGCTGGAAGACCTAATTTACAAATAAACACCAGGAATTATATTTAAACTAGACTATTTGCAAATAGTATTCAGGCAGGCGAATCCAGGGCACCTTAACGCTTCCTGATGGATTTGCACATTATTTCGCATCAAAACATTTTACTTACTTCATCATTGGATGCTTGCATAAAATTATGTATAACATCGCTTTCATCTCCGTTACTGTCAGTCCAATTTTCAAGTAATATGTGTGGATCAACAATATCCAATGTTTCGTCTTCACTGGCGCCACCCTTTTTCATAACGTTATTGTTCATTTCCTCGTTTATACTATAGTTTAATGACTGAGGTTCACTGGACGACATTGTTGTGGTTTAAATAAATTTTGTACATGAAGTAAGGACAAAAATTCTATGAAAAACAAATTATATTTGAACAAGTTGTCACCCTACATTCCCGAGAATACTAGCAGCTTGCAAAAAAATTCTCATGTTTATCTATAAAACTCTTTATCAAATTGTCATTGATAAGAAATTTTAGATTATTTTTGGAACGATAAAATGAACAAGATACATTTTATAAAAAATACAAATTTAATTTAGTAACTATTGAAAATGTGAAAAGTGTCCTGTTTTATCAAAATTAAACATTAATTTCCATAAAACCCAATAAACAAAAAGGCATTTTTCTGTACGTATTAAGATAGTTGTTTAATTTACATGTTTCGCAAAAATAATGAAAAACTACCCTCAAAATATTCTTACTTGTCCGTAAAACAACAAATTTCTACATTTTAACAAAATAATACCACACATGTTCACCCGAAACTTCTTAATTGTTTGAAGGTCGCCGCGAAAATGAAGCCACACTATGGTGTCAGAACCTAAAAATACCACTTTTTATGGTACTAGTATGTAGATATTCGACCAGCACCAAACCAAATCGTTTAAAATGTTTATTGGGGCAATTTTTGGCTTGTACTTGCTGCTATGTAGCAACAATTTGTTTATTGAATATTATTTGTGCTGATATTAAGGTAAATACAGCAAATTTTCTATGGGGATATGATTTATTAATTTGTTTCACTTGCATTTATTAGTATATTATTCGAACAAATAACATTATTCTAAATTACTTAACAGATAGAGAAGACAACATTTTTTTTTTAATTTCAATTGACTCCAAAATCCTGTACAAATTAAAATTTCAAATTATGTATTATCATTTGAAACTTCTGTCCTGTTTAGAGCAAATGCAGTAATTTTCTCGATAAAATGTTAGAAGTGGTTTCACTTACTTTTTTTTTCATCACAGAAACAGTAGTAACCAACAAGACGCCATTTTTCCCTTCTGAATCGTCATTTTTGTCTAAACAATCAGTCAACGAGGGACTTCTTAGCATAATAAAACAATTACCCGAAGTTTCTTCAACTTTCACTAATTTTTCAGTTATTTTTCCGTAAGTTTCCACTGCGGGTAAAGGAACATTTTGCACCCGCGTGCCGCAAAAGCTCACACCCAGAATTATCATTTTGTCCAAATAAACGCTTATCTCAGTGTGTAATAACAATTAAGAATAAACGAGCAGGTTTACAACATAGTGAGAGTGTAGCCTATGATATTTAATTTAATATCAGTTTATGCAAAAATTTTATTAACAGGTTTTTCAACGACACTATTTTAAACCAGAACATTATTAGAAAAATATTCCGTCACTGAGTCCAGAGTATAGACGCACTTATTCACTATTATAAATCAATCTTAAGACACAAGAGTGAAACTGACACCCAATAATGTTCAAGCCAAAAAAAAAAAACTGCAACTATCGACAAAACGTTTATGCAGAAAGTAAGCTTTCCACGTTCCAGACAAATCGATAGGTATACGTTTTAGGAGCAGTAACCTCCGAAGAAGGACCAAAGAGCCGGCTAGACTGCACTGCAGGAAATGTCTGGAACAGCTGACGTCGGTGCTTGCACCCGCGAGACAGATTCAACTGAGACTATTCATAATTTACGGGAGCACGTTCCATATAATCCAGAGATGCAGCCAGAAGAAGGGCCTTATTTTTGTTCATGTATACAGGGTGACACTTTTTAGATTTGTCTGTGGATTAAGCTTATAATAGTGTACCAAGATTCAAGATAACTTATGTCAATGTAGATATTTTTCAATCATTTTGCCTTATATTCAGTTAAATATAGGCACGGATTCCGGATCCACTGAAACTCACCTCACAGACAACTTTTATTGAACCAACCGACTTCAAATAAATTCACTTAGCACTTATTTAGCCGGGTTGTCGTTGTCGATGCAATTTTGTGATATTAGGCCTGTTCGCACAACAATCACAAACCAGTCAGAGCGAATTTTATTGGTTGAGAACAGTCAGAAAACTAGTTTCACGTCACAAATTAAATAAATAAACTATAAACTTACAACATACTGACTCAAAACCACACTTAAAACGAGACGTCCCTGGGAACTATATAGTTTTTGATTTACAGTTTACAGTTGAAATAAACCCTTGAATAAAAAGTAAACAGGTACTATTAATCTTTTTTTTTACCTTTATTTTGCTAGTGTGCCAGAGAAGGAGTATTTTTTCTCGGAAAATTTTAAACCTGTATGTTAAGCCAATCAAAAGTTCTTACTTTCAAATTCGTCCATGACAACCAGAAAAATTTCCGAAAATTTTTCTCTTGATGGACACCCTAGATGTGATTACACTGAAATTTTTGTCAGATTTTGAAATATAAAATTTTGGTTTAAAATTTTCCTATCGAATACCAAACAGCCATCGCTACTGGTAATGATCCGAGCACGATTATTTAGAAAATCCATTGTGTGATTTAAATGAACAAACATTTATGTGATTCTAGAGATTTCCCGACTCAATGTAGGTATGGCATATAAAGCGCGAGTAGTTTGTAGGGTAAATCAGTTCCAGCTTAAATAAAAGAATTGTTGTATAAAGTTAAATAGAAGCGACAAGTCATTTGAAATTTTTACTGTCAATTATTTCAATAAAATTTCTATCGCATTTTTATTCTGCCCTTGATAGATTTGTGCCTAAGCGAGTCGTCGCAAATAAACAAGTACATACTACAAAAAATTCAAATACTCCAACAGGAATCCTCACGATAATACGATTTATTCGAACCTGCGAAGGGAAGTGAAATATCAAATAGATCTTTGCTATGCCATTTTTATATCGAACATCATGGAGCATGTTCTACCTACAAATATCAATCACTTTTGGTCCTACATAAACTCCTTAAGAAAGGCCAATTTCATAATAGAGAATTAAAAGTTACTTAAGCTAAATAGACTTTTTAGGATAGGATTTTTACTTTAAGTTAATTATGAAATTGGCCGTTAGGCATTCAGGCTACGCTTCAACATAATGGGCAGGTTTTCGCCGACAATTAGGCCATTTCCGATGCTTTTGCTATCCACTTTCAACCTGGGTACACAGACTACAAGAAGCGCCGATCCAGGAAGATTTCAACATACCTTGTCTCTAGGCTATTCTCCTATGACTTCTTGGAAAATAATATAGGATCAAAGCTAAAGCAATCGGACAGCTCCAAGGGTCCAGGTCCTGATGGCATTCCCCCCTGCTGCTTCAAAAATGTCACCCTTCCATGTCAAAACCTCTGTGCAAATTATTTCAAAGATCTTTCAACCAGGGTTACTTTCCCGACTGCTGGAGAAAATCAACTACATATTTTTCAAATCTGGCGATAGGAAAGACGTTCGCAACTGCAGAGAAATTCCCCTATTATCATCTATCCCCAAACTACTAGAGGCCATCATTTCAGAGATCTTCGAAACATATAAGCACCACATAATGGGTGGGCAGCATGGTTTTCACCAGGGTCGATCTACAGCAACAAGCCTGGCCGTTTATCAAAACTACCTGGTCCATACACTAGAAGCTGGTCACAGAGTCGACGTCGTTTTCACCGATATATCAAACGGTTTCGAGAAAGTTTGTCATCAGCTGCTCCTTATGAAGCTCTACAGGATTGGCATTTCAGGCTGTATGAGGTGCTGGATTGAGTCGTACCTTAGCGAGCGCAGACAATATTGTACTGGGGGTGGGGCAGCATCCCGGGAAATTAAAGTCCTTTCTGGTGTCACACATAGATCCAATACTTATTCCTCCTGTTCGTTAATGATGTGGCCAGCTGCTTCCACAACGCTCAGTTTCTTCTGTACGCCGATGACCTTAAACTTTTTTGAAAACTGGTCCACAAGTCAACCTTCAAGCGGATTGGCATCGGCTTGTTGCATGGTGCAGGAACAATTTTTAGGAATTGAACGTAAAGAAGTGCAAGTCCATGCAATTTTTCAAAAACCGGACTGTCTTTTTGCTACACCATCGAAAACCAGGTAGTTGAACATGTTAGCGTTTACAATGATTTGGGAGTGATCTTTGACAATAATTTAACTTTTGAGAACCATATTGAAAATATTGTGAATAGAGGGTTTAGAATGCTAAGCTTTGTGAAGCGTAACACAAAGCATCTACATGATACCCAGGCGCTTCACACTCTTTACAACTGTCTGGTGCGCAGCATCCTTGAATACTGCAGCGTGATCTGGTCTCCTTTTCACAACGGATTAAAAGGGTTCAGGCCAAATTTGCTAAATACCTCCTGTACAAACATCACTTTCCCTTAGAAAACGTCGACCACAGCATTAGGCTCCTCCTGATGCATTCTGAATTTAATTTTACTATTCTGAATTATATTTGATGCTTTCTGAATTACTATTGGAAACGGTGTAGTGTAGTGGATCTGTTCAAGCTAATTAGGGGGATTATACAACTCACTGTACATTATTCTCATATGACACGAGAGGCTTAATAAGTGATAAGCCTTTTGGGATTATCGCGCTTGGTGGCATTTATAGCAAATTCTATTATAGAAAAAAATTTAAATTTTAAAGTATTAAAGTTTAGTTCGTTGTATAACCTTTTGAATACCACTCGATGTTTCAGGATTACCTAATACTTTTACCTGACACTCAACGCGTTACCAGCAACACCACTTCTCGTTCGGAGTCGTGGTGTTGCTGCCTAACGCGTTTCGTGACAGGTGAAAGTATTATCCGATAATCCTGAAACCTCTTGTGGTATTACATTCGATAATTCGCGGGATAATTGATAATTAGTAGACTGATTTGAACGAATTGGTGGCAACAATAAATAAACTTTTATTGAAGTCAAATAGTGCCTTAATTACTGCACCTTTTCTATGTGTTATTGCGAATATATGACGTAATTTTAAAAAAAGTGAAATGATATTGTGAATAAGGTGCCCCATTTTCGTATACAAGCATCGAAGAGGGTTGAAGAATACACCGATTTTGAATAGGATGGAGGGATTTTTACGAGTGGCTCCTGCGGATAACGTATGGAAAATCCGATTTTCCGTGACACACAAGAAAGGAGTCTTGGTGCCCATACTTTCTCGCAAGCCGTGTTCACCAGAAGATTAATTGTTGGAACCTGGCTTCGGAAAAATAAAGGAGGGGGTAATGCAAGAGTAGTGATGCCGCGAGACGAGACTAAAGTGACACTCTCGTCTCGTCTCGTCTCGCCCTAATCTCGTCTCGTCTCGAGGCCATTTGGTCTCGACTTCGAGACGAGACGAGATTAAAAGAAGCGAGACGAGACGGGACGAGATTCTCGACTAATCTCGTCTCGTTCTTCAAATAATCGTTTTAGTTTCTTTTTCAATAATGTTTCAAAGGAGCTACCTACAGGAAATCTTTTATTCGATAGTAATATAACGAAAGCAATGGAAATTATCGAAAATTTTTGGCAAATTTTCCCGAATGCATTTTCAGTTGAAAAAGAGCACGAATGCTTTTTTCAGTTGAAAATGCATGAGTGCAAATTTGTCAAAAATTATAGATATATTTCCATTGCTCGAGTTGTATTTTATGAGTAAATTCCATGAATCAAAAATTTGAACTTTTAGTATACCCTCGTAAGTATAAAAATGTCACTGGTCACAAAAAATGTCAAATGCCACCCGTTAGTGTGCAATTATCCGATAATCTTGCACTAGTGCAAATTATCACGTAATCGCAATCTGATTGATTGCAATAAAGCCTTCATAAATGATAGGTATATGGTATATGCAGTGTTGTTCCTGGAGAAATTTCAAATGAACTTAAACCGCAAGAATAATAAACACTACAGGATTGCCCATAAGGCCTGTGTAGTTCAAATCTCAGCTCCCCACTACGCAAAAGTACCACTGATGACGTAGTCAGCGTGTCGTTCTTCGCTTTAATGTCGCTTTGACGTAGGGTGTTTGCACCACAGGCTGGGATTCCGCTGACTCTAGGGAATTTTCCGCGCTGTAATCATGTAATATTTTTACTTGTAGTTACATCATACCACTTTTTTTTCCTAATTATGATTACCTCATACCTCACCGTTTAATATGTCAAATGAGATACCATGACGTCATAGTATGATCATACCTGGTTACTTGTGGTTACAGCGCGGAAAATTCCCTTTTGGCTTTATGAACTTGGTTTCAGTAAATTAATTAGCATTCAAAAACAAACCTTTTGTTAAAATCTTTTCTTCATCTTCATCCCTACATATTATGTCATCAATCATAAATTTGAATTATTAACTACGACCGCTGGCGCAAATAGTCGTCGGCACCGTTGATGACGTTGGCAACGGTGCTACACCATATGATGTTGATGCGACAAATAGAGGCCGATGAGCAATCCTGTATCCTGTAGTAGTGTTTATTATCCTTGCTGAAACGGGTCATGCGGGTCAGAGCAAATTGTACTGTTTTCAGAGGCAATTGTACTGTCGTAGGATGTTTGAAATCAGGGACGTAGCAACAGGTAGTGCGAGTCGTGCCGCGCACAGGGGTCCGGGCCCCGAAGGGGCCCGGCTTGTCCTGCCGCTTTTTGGACACAACATACAAGAAGATAAAAATTATTAAAAAAAAACATTTTACGCCCGCCATTCGCTTTGGCAATTTTAAACCGAAACAGAAAACTGTAATATCCATCTCTACAGATTTATTTCCAGTCAGCCTCCGACTCCTAGTACTCGTACTACTCGTGTCAATATTGTCAATTGTCAATTGTCAATCTCAGTCGTGTATTAGCTCTCAAAAATGTCTATTTTACGCAAGGATTTTACGAACCCATTTCAGCAATTTTCGGCCTAGTCCCTAAAAGTCGTTATAGCAGTCAGAAAAAAATTTACCTGCCACTCTTGTCGCAACAATACCAATGCGTAATCAGTTTCAAATTTTTAATGTCACATTTACTTTTCATTTTTGTTAACGAAATTCAATCAATTTTTGGAGTTTTTTAGACTCATCAAAAATAGTATATTGCGTGAGGAGTCTGGAAAGTACTCTTTTTTTGGACGAGTAGACAAGATTCCAGTCTGCGAGTCCAAAAAAACACTTTCCAGTAGTATTACGTATACTATGTTTTGGCCGGAAAGAACATACTTTCCAGACTAGGCCGGAAAGTATGACATCACTTCTTGGCCTAAGTAATCATATTCCGGCCTAGGCTTAAAAAGGCATACTTTCTTAAGTAAAACGCGTTCGAAAACTATGTACTTTCAGAACGGTTGCCGAAAAACCTCATTTTAGGTACCTACTTGTTACAAAAATAGCTATCGTCTGTTAACCTATCAAAAATTTCTCGCTTACGAATTTGCCATGAGCCTTTTTGCCCATAACCCCCCCGCCCCAAACAGTCAATGAATTTGAAAATTTGAAACTTTCGATGCCCATGGTGAAGGGGGCCCGCTGTGCTCTAGTCTTGCATTAAGGCCCGGTTTTGACTTGCTACGTCCCTGTTTGAAATAAAACATGCTGTTAGCCATAGCAGTATTCCTTCCGCACAAGGAGGGGCTCCAGAAAAGCTCCGTGG